CCTTGGTGATTTTTTTAAAGTTTATTTATTTTGAGAGAGAGAGAGAAAAAAGTAGGGGGGCAGACAGAGAGGGAGAGACAATCCCAAGCAAGCTCTGCACTATCAGCGCGACCCACAAACTGTGCGATCATGACCTGAGCCGAAATCGGGAGTCGGACACTTAACTGACTGAGACACCCAGCCGCCTCATTTCCTTGGTGATTTGAAGTCTCATGATTCTAAGTGGGGAATATATGCCTATGACTCCCTGATTTATTATGTTTTTAAACGAGAACTTTCTCCTAAACTCTTCACTTCTTATACCCAATTACCGCCTCAATATCTCTACTTGGATGTTTAAAAGATCCTCAAGCTTAAAGTAGCCATGCCTTCCTGATCTTCCCCACTCCCAAACCTGCTCATTTTTAGCCTCTCTCATTTCAGTTGAAGGAAACATCATCCTTATAGTTGCTCGAGGCAAAAACCCTGCAGCCCTCTTTGATTCTCTTTTCCCTTTAGACCCCAGATCCAAATTCTGTTGTCTCTACCTTCAAAATATATTCAGAATCTGGACACCTCTCTCCATCTCCACTGCCACCATTTTGATTACAGCTACCACGATATCGTGTCTGTCTTTCGGCAATATCTGCCTGACTAGTGTCTCTGTTTCATTTGCCTACTGTCTCTTTTCATAGAGCTGTTAAGGTGATCTTGATAAAACATAATTTAAAACATCACTGCTCTGCTCGACCTTTTTCAGCGGTTATCATTCCACTTAGAAGAACCACAGTGTCAGTCATGACCAGCAAGGCCCTACACAAGCTAAATCTTTTCCTACTATTCCTTTCCTTGCTCACTCTACTCCAGCTCCAGTTACCTCCTTCCTAGTCCTTGAACATTCTAGGCGTTTATTCTGTCTGTTCTCTCTGCCTGGAATGATCTTGCTTAAGCTATCCGCAAGCCTACCCCCCTCATTTCCTTGAGTCTTTGCTCAAGTACAACTGCCTATAACGGGAGCTACCCTCACCTTTCTTAAAGTTGCCACATGCTGTCCCTAACCCCACCCTCTCACTACACCACCTAACCCTGCTCTCTTTTCTCCTACCTAGTATTTCCAAACATACTATCTCCTTGGCCTGTTCATTATTTTTATTCTTTTCGTCTGTTGCACCCTGTTCTATGTGGGCAGGAACCTTTATTTTGTTCACTGATATTTCCTGAACTACTATTACAAAAGCACTAAGTAGTGGCTCAAAAGAACAATTCTTGAGTGAAGGTAAAAAAAAAAAAAATCTATTAGAGCTTGACCTGAGAGTGGCATTTGACCAGTGAGGGGAGGAATGGCATTTGCAGGCTGGTAGAGAGAGCCTCTGGAAAACACCCATGTGTGTGTTTTAAAGGGTGGCAGCAGGAGCGCCTGGGTGGCTCAGTCGGTTAAGCGTCCGACTTCGGCTCAGATCATGATCTCGCGGTCCGTGAGTTCAAGCCCCGCGTCAGGCTCTGTGCTGACTGCGCAGAGCCTGGAGCCTGTTTCGGATTCTGTGTCTCCCTCTCTCTCTGACCCTCCCCCATTCATGCTCTCTCTCTGTCTCAAAAATAAATAAACGTTAAAAAAAAGAAAAAAAAATTAAAGGGTAGCAGCAGGGGGAAAAGCACAGGAACACCCATATCTCACAATTTTACTTAAAGATTTATCCTGTAAATTTCCCTCTCACATGAAATATGAGTTTTTGAGCCTGAATATCAAGACTCATTTTGCTCTTATTTCTTCTTCATATCTCATCTAACTTCCCCTACTTGGGGGAAAGTTTCTGACCCAGATATTTCTTCATTTTGGGATTTACTTAAGCTCTCTGATGGGAGTCTGAAAGTCTCTCACTACACACCACATTTTTACTTTAAAAAAAAATTGTAAATGTCCCTTAGCTTTCATTCACTCTAATCTCTCCATCTGATAATTAACTTTCAGATTCCCCAATGATTGTTTGTCTAGGCAGTATAACATCCAAGAAGACTCTTGTTTCTCTTCATCTTTCTCCTGAGTGTATGCATTTTGTGGAGTCAGGAACTCTTAGATGAATCCAACTTTCTAATTAGGAGTTCTTAATAGGAATGAGGTAAAGCTTATTACAATTGGTGGATTTTGCTAATTTCTGATGCAAACAATATTACAAGAAAAAAATTTGAGTCTTGTTGGTTGGAAGACCCCTTTCAACTTTTTCAAGAATTTCCTGAAAAACCTGAGAAATTGACGAGCATTCTTATAAATTTGCAGTACAGGCTATAGGACTATTCTTGAAATCCTTTCTTCTGTAAACAACTTTTTATTTCCCACCATATCAAAATGGATTCTGGGGTAGGTATGGATTCTGGAGTAGGTATGCCAAAAAGAATTAATATCGCAAGTCTGAAGCTACTCATTTTAGAAGAATCTGACACCATGATTGGCCCTTGGCTTGCGTCTGGGAATTCAGCTTCTAAAAAATTCCCTACACTGATATGAAAAATTGCCTGATTGATAAGAGTGATTTGTTGTGCCTACACTGTATAGACAATGTGACTTAGGGTGAAAACCTCCTCTCCTTCTAGAAGTCTGGTATTTTGGTAGTGAATAGGCAAAAGGTGCCTATGTGACCAACTCTCGATAAAAATTTGTCTCCAATGGGCTGCCTGGGAAGCAGCATTACACATTTGCAAAGCTGGAGAAAGGAGAAATCTCAGCATGTCCCTCCCAGGTACAGAAGGACAGTGTCACTGTGATAAATCTTAGCCATGAGTACTACTATTTGCTGGTCCTCTGCATCCTTTAAATGAATCATCAAATATATGGTGGCCTTGGTAACTCCCCATATAGCAAGAATAGTGCTGAATACTCCTCTTCTCCACAGTTTCTTCAATCACATAATTATCAGTCTTCATGTCTTATATATTTTCGGGGATTCATGCTTAGAGTATTTATGAAAATTTCTCACTAGAATTGGATACAACTGAAGCTAGTAACTGGGATAGGTCACATAATAATATTCAAATGTACTAAGATCATGATCTAATGGATTACATTTATCAGACTAGGAAAAACATTAGGGAAAAGAAACAGAATTTTATTTATTTACTTATTTTTTGAGAGAGGGAGTGAGGGTGAGCGAGAGAGACAGAGGGAGAGAGAGAGAGAGAGAGAGAGAGAGAGAGAGAGAGAGAGAATCCTAAGCAGGCTGCATGCTCAGCACAGAGCCCAACACAGGGTTCTATCTCCCAAGTGTGAGATCATGACCTGAGCCAAAATTAAGAGTCAGATGCTTAACTGATGAGCCATTCAGGCACTCCAAGAAATGGAATTTAATACATGTGAAAGCAAAATAATTATAGAAGTCAAGTGTATGTAAGAGCACATGTTAATTAGTTGTTTTAACTAATCAAATATTTATTTAGCATTTACATGTTAGTAGGCAGATGGCTTAAACTCTTATTTGGTAGCAAGATATCATGGGGTATTAGAGTCTTTCAACTAGAATTCTTAAAATCAAATGCCTGGAAGGCCACGAAGGCCACGAAGTCAATATAAATGCATATTGTGGGCCACAAATAAGATAATAGCCACTATGCTGCTCTAACACTTTCTAGTTTCTGCATTTATACTCCAAACAAACACAATAAAGTGAAACATAGTGGTGGCTACCTATGACAGATGTATTTTCAACCCCTGCTCTAAACTATGATCATCAGTAAAGGAAAGCTGGCAATCAGGCATCGATATTGACAGATTCTATTATATAGATTATGGATATGAAGTACTTTCAATATAAAGACATTATTAACAGATTCTATTATATGGATTACAAATATTAAATACATTAAATGTAAAGAACATCAGTCTGGTAAAGAATTGAAGTGGAGGAAAAATAAACTGTTGCCAAATATTTTGGGATATTGCCTATTTGTGTTCAAGGAGAACGAAGTAAAGCAATTTTCTAGAAGATGAAAAGGAAGATATAGTCTAACTTGCCATAAGGATTTATACTTGCCATTTTCCAATTATTTCCTTTTAAAACAGCATTCATTCTAGTCCAACTTTCTGTTTGCTTTTTCCTCAACCAGCTATTCTGGTCAATCATGGATAAAAAACTTGTGCATAGCAACCCATACAGTCTTGACATTTCTAGAAAGCACCATCTAAGAAAAGCAGGAGTGGGCTTGAATAAAAGTTTCTTAGTTTTTAAACACACTGCCAAAAATCTGAAGCTTGAGAGAAAAGCTGCGCTTTTTGCTTAAAGAGGTTATTTAGCAGAGTGGTTAAAAGCACATGTTTACTTTGAACTTAGACTGACCTTGCCTCAAATTTCTACTCTACATTCCCGTGTGATCTTGGAGAAGTTACTCAACCTCTGTAAATTCCCATTTCTTCATCTGTGAAATGAGGAAAACATTTTTCACGTATATATATATAAAGTTCCTAACAAGTCATAAGTAGTCAGTAAATTGTGGTGCTGGTGCTCGTGATAATAGTGGTGACGGTGTCGATAATGCTGGGGGTGGTGATGGTGGTGATAATGGCCATAATGGTGATGATGGCGGCAGTAATGATGATAATGGTAACGCTGGTGGCGATTTGATGGTGGTGATGATAATGGTGGTGACTTTAAGGATGGTGGTGGTGGTGCTGGTGATGATGATGGTGATGGTGGTGGTGGTGGTGATGGTGGGGGCAGTGACGGTGATGGTGGAAGAGATAGTTGTAGTGCTAACCTGAGGAATGTTTCAAAACTTTTAAAAAGGCGCTGGAATTTTTTTTCAAATTAACTCCTAAAAAAAAAAAAAAAAACCACAGTAAAAACAGATAAAACAAGAGTTGCTCAAGGAAGTGGGGGTATGAGAGCAGCCTGCTCAGCCCTTCCTTCTCCTTGCATCTGCTCACATGTGTGGCCCGCGCAGTTTACCACAGAACTCTCAGCGTTCAGCCAAGCATAGTTTGAAAATCTATGGCAAGAGACCGACAAAGAAATGGCAAAATAATCTTTGCTTACTTTATATCTAAAGGTGGCTTAATGTTTCTGGGAGGTAGACTTGGGACTGGCGGTTGTGTTGGGTGAGATGCTGGCAATGGTGGTTGGCTGGCTGGATGGGACGGTGGAGGTGGTGGGAGGGAAGTAGTTGAGTAACACATTTGGCCTTTGTTGGTACCTAAGAAGCAGAGGAAAAAAATAACATGAATTAAGATAAATCTTCAAAACACAAGAGCCAGCTATTCTGAGTATGCAGAAATGAAGATCTTAAATATAAAAACATAAGAAATGCATCCTAAGTTGAATTAGTGCTTTAAAGAATCTAATATTCTAAGTACCACAGAACGTGGCATTTAAATTTTCTATTTTTTTCAGATTTATTGAGGTATAATTCACAAGTAAAATGATCAGATATGTAATGTATGTAAGAGGATGATTTGATATATGTATCTATTTTGAAGGGTTTTCCCCATTGAGTTAATGAACACATCCATCATCTAACGTGTTTATCTTTTTGGGGGGCAGAGGGTGAGAACACTTAAGTTCTACTCTCTTCACAGATTTCAGTTGTACAATACAGTGTTAACTATAGTCACCATGCTTTACTTTAGATCTTCAGAACTTACACATCTTATAACTGAAAGTTTGTACCCTTTGAGCAACCTCTTCCTAGTTCCCCCACCCTAGCCCCTGAAAACCACTTTTCTACTCTGTGTTTCTATGAGCTTGACTTTTTGTTTTGTTTTGTTTTGTTTAGATTACACATATCAGTGATACCATGTGAGCTTTGTCCTTGTCTGGCTTTCTGGCTTATTTCACTACCGTAATGCCCTTCAGATTCATCCATGTTGTCACAAATGACATGATTTCCTTCTTTTTTTAAGTGGAATAAGATTCCACTTTATATATCGACCACATTTTCCTTATCCACTCATCCATTGATGGACACTTAGGTCGTATCCATTCCTTGGCTGTTGTGAATCATATTGCTATAAATATGAGAATACAGATATGTCTTCAAGATAATTATTTTGTGGCTTTTAGATATATACCCGGAAGTGGGATTGCTGGATCACATGCAGTTCTACTTTTAATTCACTGAGGAAAGTCGATACTGGTTTCCATAGTGGCTGTGCCAGTTTATATTCCCGACCATGTAGACAAGTGTTCCCTTTGCTCCACTTCCTGGCATTTGTTATATCTTGTCTTTTTGATAATAGATATCCTAACATGTGTGAGGTGATATCTCATTGTGCTTTTGATTTGCATTTCCATAATGACTAGTGATGCTGATAAATATTTTTTTTTTTTTTTTTTTGAGATAGATAACTTCTTTAATTCCCATTATAAAAAGGACTTTCTCTACTTCGCTTAGGAAAAGCTTAACAATTGTTAAATCTAGGTATTGAGTATATGGGTGACAAATTTCATAATGAAAAGTGAAACAAAACAAAACAAAAAAAGAATCTTATTTTTTTGAAGCTTTTGTAACTTTTAGTTTTAATATTCTGGACTTTATGAAGAAGCCTACATCAACTTTACTATGACATTCTTTATGATTTAAAACATGTAGATGGTTTTTCATCAGACTCATTATTTTAGACGAAAGACATTTAGTTTTTGTGTCTGATACTGGTAACACATTCTTACTTGTTTTCAAAGATTTCCTTGAATCATTAATGAGAAGATGTATTTTGTTTCAGGTGTGATTTCTCAATATTGAAGTTTATTAAATAATCTCACAAGTAAATCATATATATAGTAGAGGTTATAATATAAAGACAAGCAAAATCAAACACATATAAATCACCCATAAACTCATCACCCAGCAATAGCTACTGAGTTCCATGTATTTTAAAACATTTTAGTGTAAACACATACTTTTATGGCAGAGGAGCAAAATGGGACCATTTTGGTATTTTGTTATCAGTTTAAAATTTTTCTCATTGTTCATAAATATAATTCCAGGTTAATATAATTACAATATGATTTTTAGTAACTAGACAATTTTTCTTTATGCAACTCTACCATGATTTAAAAAAAACACACTAAGGCTCTAATATTGGATATTTGCATTAATTCCTTTCTTTTTTGCTATAATAAAAAATGGCTTAGTCTTTGCACATATTTAAAGTTTTTTCTTTTTTTTTTTTAATTTTTTTTTCTTCAAAGTTTATTTATTTTTGGGACAGAGAGAGACAGAGCATGAATGGGGGAGGGGCAGAGAGAGGGAGACACAGAATCGGAAACAGGCTCCAGGCTCTGAGCCATCAGCCCAGAGCCCGACGCGGGGCTCGAACTCACGGACCGCGAGATCATGACCTGGCTGAAGTCGGACGCTCAACCGACTGCGCCACCAGGTGCCCCTAAAGTTTTTTCTTAGAATGGATTCCATTAAGTGGAAATGCTGGGTCAAAAAACTTTTTTTTAAGACTTTTGATACAAAATACAAATTATTTTCTGGAGTGATACCAACTGCTGGCTCCATCACTTAGTTATAGGAAAGTGCTGATTTTCACATGTTTTTGCCAACATTGGCATCATATGTTTTGAACTTGACAATAGTATGGAAAACTTCTACCTTTTGCTTTAATTTCATTTTATCAAAATATCAATATCAAATACCAAAAATTCCAACATTTTAGATGTTTCTTTTGTATCTGCCTTCATATACAGACACACACACACAGATACACATAGCTACTGCTTGAAAAAATTATTGACTTCCGATTTGCTAGATGTAGGTATTTTCCCTCCTCCCTTTCCTTTTCCAACGTAGCAAAAGCATAACTTTTTTTTTTTTATTAAATCCATGTTCATGGTTTTCATTATCATGACTAGGTAAATATTGTGCTTCTCTGAATCAAGTAGGGTACTCTAATTGCATTTACTTATTCATTCAACTTACTGTTTTCCTGGAGTTAACAGCTGTCTTACTTCATCATTTACAAAGATTTTTCTTACTTCCCACAATTTCCAACAGTGCTGTAAAATGTCTTTAAAGATTTCCTACAAAACCGAACCTGTCAGATAATGAATCGGTTCCAGCATAACTATCATCCCTGTCCGCTTGCTCTAATGTGCCGTGGTTGCTTGTAAAGTCTGCCACATATCTGACATTCGGAGATGTCTCTTTGCCAGCGTCATGGCTCTGATGCATTGAGAGAATGCATCTCTCAAAAGGGTCCAAGATCTGGAGCCAAAGTGCTCAGGTTTAAGTTCTGGCTCCACCACTTACCTGCTGGGTGACTTGGGTAAGTCACTTCTGGTTTCATCTGTAAAATGAAGATCATAATAGTGCCCCCTCATAGGGTTGCGGTGAGGATGTTAGACTTAATACACATAAAGCACTTAGGACAGTACCTGGCATATAGTAAGTTGAACATTTTTTTTTTATTTAACAAATATTTATTGAATGTTTACTGTGTGTCAAACTCTGTTCTAGGCACTAGGATACAATGGAGGAAAAAGCAGCCGCACATTTCTGCTCTTACGGATTTGAGGAGATAGATAAGAAGTAAATACATATAAAATTATGAGAAGTGCTAATAAACGGTGGAAAGACTATCTAATGGTATACTGTTGGCATCTCTTCCCTACTCTGCATTCAGTGACCTCACTATGGTAGATTGAACTTGGGCATAATGGGAGTAGCTAGGTCGTGGAAATAAACAAGAACTATAACTTTCATTATTGTTTTGTTGATTATTAGGTATAAGAAAGTGATGGAGGAAATGCTTATCATGCAGATTAAACTTAAAAGCGTGTTGTTTCTATACCTATTACATGGTAAATAGCATACAACATTCAAGAAATATTTTCCAGTATTTGAAAGCTATTATACAAACTCAGCAAAATATTCACTCACATCATTGACAAATGAGTGAACTTCTGACATAATATCTTTGTTTCTCATTCATCTTGTTAACATAAATGAAAACAATAATCAACATTCAGGTTGGAACTACACTCATTGCTTAATGTCAACCATAGGTTGGCTACAGGTACAAGAGACTGGCAAAAATCAACAATTGGCCATATGGAATTCTCAATAAAGAATATTGTATAACTTATTCTTATTTATATATTATGTGCCATGCATCTTTAATACCAAAAAATTTAATACATGTATGTATATAAACATTACACACATACACACACCCTTTCTTAGAGAACTAGTTAAAAATTTACCAGCATATCATGCTTATTCCTAAATAATTCGTAGGTTCTTGTGGCTATATCATGAATAGAATGTCTCTGTATCTCCCCAATTTGCATTGACCCTTTCTGATTTTATACATTATGCATTGGAATTATGTATGTTGCCTAGTTTCCCAAAATATGCGGTTTGTTTTTCTTGTCCTCCTAATTTTGGGGCAATTTTTTTGAGAGGAAAAGGGGATGCATTCTTGAAAAATGTTTTCCTTTAATTTTACATGTCTTTGAGGTCCATCTTTTCATTTTTATAACCATTTTTCATTTTAATTGTATTATCTACTCAAATCCTTTGGCTGTTTTTATTTTATTAAAATTTTTTTAATGTTTATTTTTTGAGAGAGACAGAGAGTAGGAGCGGGGAAGGAGGAGAGAGAGAAGGGGACAGAGGATCTTAAACAGGCTCTGTGCTGACAGCAGAGAGCCTGATGGGGAGGTCAAACCCACGAACTGTGAAATCATGACCTGAGCCAAAGATAGAAGTTTAACCGACTGAGCCGCCCAGGCGCCCCACTTTGCCTATTTTCAGAATAGTATTTGCTTTTTCTTAGTGGCTAGTAGAACCTCTTTATTCAGGGTATTAATCTTTTTGCCACTTGTATGGACAAACAATATAAGAATCAGGCTGCTATGGCTCCTGCTTCTGCCTATTCATACCAAAAAACTCCCAACAACAAAAAGGAAAACAAACAACCAAACAAACTACAAAACATAGACCAAACTATGCCTCAACCAATAAAACCAAAAGTCTTCAAAACCTTTGAAGGAAATATAGTACTTCACTGTAAATTACCTTAAAGGGTTAATGGCAGGGTTTTAAATGACATATAAAAAGCTTCTTTGGTTGGTAGAGAGAATTAGGTCCCCTGCAAATCTGATAAATAAAATTTTCCAACTGATTCTATTTATGTTAGAAATATTTTTCCATCCCATTTTTGTAATCAGTAAAGTTAAACTTTTTTG